GTTGATACTCCGTATAGCTAGTTATCTCCACTCAAATGTAAGGAAAAGAGTTCGTTTCATACTTGATTTTGGCAATGTGGTCCCATGGCCTCATCTTCAGCAGAATGCGTATGATTTCATTACTGTGCAGACTGCAAATCAAAGCAGTATAAACACTTTAAGCTTATGCATTTTAAACAACAACAAAAGCAAGCTCTGGTTGGAAGGGTTGTTACCACAACCCTTATAATCCTGCTGACTATTACCAGCACTCTAATTTTTGTTCTAGACTAAGTTCTTTAAAACTTCAATATTTTAAAAAAGCCTTTTCTCTCAATACCTCCCCTAGAATAGCTTTAAAGAGGGGCACAGTGGTACAGTTCCCTCTGCACTCTCTGGGAACTCCTTGATTTACTTTTCCAAAGCCACAGCAGAGATTACCCGGTTTCAGATTGCCTCCAGGATAAAATTCCAAGAATGCTGTTACATACAGGCATTGAGGCCATCTTTGTACCCTTGTCCTTTAAACAGGCAAAGGAAAAACCTACTGCGATACCTGTGTATGGATAACCCGTGTCCAAAATCCTGGCAATAATTTTAAGTAGCTAAACTGGTATGTTGTCATGGAGAAGAAAGGAAGCAAATTTTAGTGTCCCCCAGCATTACTATAACAGAAGTGAACTCTGAAGTGAATTTTGTGGACTTGATTAAAGTTAAAAACATCAGTTGGCCAAGACATACAGTGCATGTTTTCACATGCTATTGCCTTTGATTTTGCTTTGCTGATTAAATATAACTTCACTCCTGCTATCCTTAGATGTAACAGACACATTAGGAGGGGGATTTAGTGTGCCCAGGATGAGGACAATCAAAATTCTAATACTTAAAATAACTTCCAGCAATCTTGCAATTTTGTTTGTGAAGTATAATTTCAATTTCAGAAAGTCTTTCTGGAATATATTTATATTTCCAATAGAGTTTTGGTGTCCACATACTTGACTACACACTGTTAACATTGTCCTGTATTTCTTAAAATGACATCTGAAAAAGTTACTCATTAGCACTTTCCAAAGACAGAACTTAGTCAGAAGAGTTGGAAGAATTCCCAGGGTATCTTCTGTACTCCCATGCTCAAGTTTTGTAAACGCTTTCTCTAAATATAGAGTAGGGTCTGGTCAACAATTAACTCTTCAGTCTTGGTAAGGTCCTGCAGATACTGTGTTTAACATTATATTTGAATATAATTTGACTTCACACTGGGTGAAGCCCCACCTTCCCAAGTCTCACAGAGTTTGCAGACTTTCAAGAAAAATTCATAATAAGAGAATTAAGGGTGGGGAGTGGGCAGATGCATATTGCTAAAGTAAGTGAAATAAAAGTTTTATATCAATACGTAACTAATCTGACAGTGCCATGTATAGTTCACAGCAACAGCCCCACCATCTGAGGTACATGGATTGCAGAGCCATTTTCAAGCTGTGATTTATGCTGTTTACAAAGCACCAAGGCTATAAAGGCCATCATCCCTCCAAGCAGATCCTCTTTAAAGCTTCCTATAAAGCATTTATAACCAAGCAGAGCAAGCAGCTGAACCGTGTTTTGTGTTACGTTCAGCTGCACATTTTTCTTTGCTCATACCCAGCAGAGTCGCCTGACACAGAGCTGCCTCCTTTTGCCTCCTCAGCTTCAGATACCAGAGCTGCCTGAAGCGTCTGGAACCACCTGGAGTTTTGTGAGTGCAGTACGGCATCAGGCTGGCTGCAGGAGGCCTGATCCTGCCTGTAACCCAAGCTTCTGGCTGCTGTGCTTGTCCCTGTCAAAAGCAGAGGCTCCGGATGAGCGACCTAATGCAAATTTGTGCTGCAAGTTGTGCAGTGAACTCGGGACAGCAGCAGCTGGGGGTGGGCTGTCGGAGCAAGGAGGAGGAACAGAACCACCGCACAGCAGAGGGATGAAGGAGCAGTTACTCAATGAGACAGAGGAGCTTCAACAGAAAGCACACATTTTTGAAAAATGGATATTGCTTTTAAAGTAATCCAGGTGCCGTAATATTCATTATGTGCATGGTGCATTACAATCGGTGTATTTCAAAACAAAGGAGAAATAAGACACAAGAGAACGACATTACTACAGATTGAATAAGGGCTTCTGCAGTCCATTTGCAATAGACATCCATCCAAAAGATTCCAAGTCCCTATACCCAACCTAATCTTAAAGCATTTGGCTTCCAGAGCACCACAGTGCCCTGCATCTATTCTGTCTCAAGATATGAATCACTTGGATTATCCTGCTTTTCCCAATTACTTTCCCTCAGGAGCCCCCCATGCCTTACCTCTTATTAGACTGTTTCCTACTCTCTTGTCTCAAAATGGGAACTCCCTGCTTATCATCTTCCTTCTTTTTCTTTTGTTTTGTCCTCCTTTCCTCTGGTTCTCTTCCTAGTTCCTGCTCATTATCTCACTTTTAATCTTTTACAGAGGAATTGCAAGAACACCAAGAAATGGTCTAAAGAGGTGTTCTGTATGTGGTGTTTTCAGGTATCTCACATAAAGTTTTCATACCAGGCACGACAGTTTTAAAACTATTTGTCTAATCCTGCATTCGCAAAACTATGAAAAGCCTCTGGAACAGCAAGAAGAAAAATCAGAAATAGATATGTGAGACTTGTGCAAGCAAAAATAAATCATTTGTATTTCAAAACTAAGAGGCTAGGAAGAAATTAATGGTTTAAAAAAATAATTTCAAGAAAAGATACAAGTTAAAGTAGGATTGTCTTCTCTCAATTATTTTTAAATTACTTTAAATTATTTATTATTAAATAATAATTACATCATATTAAAGTATTTTAAATTATGTGTTTGAAATCAATACACCTTGAGATAATTCTCTATCCGTGAACCAAATGCCACAACCTTTTGGTTAAGAAATTCTCTATATAGGTTGGTTACCTTAGAAGCAGGTTAAGATTTTCAAAAGCAGTAGCAATGTTGAGTTGCAGCCTCCATCTGCACATCCAGGAGACCAGTGACCTCTGGTGGAACAGGGGGGATTGCCTCGCACGGCTGCAGGCTCCAGCATCACCCTTTGCCCTGTGCTCTATTGATGTGAAGTGAACCCTTCCTTCCTTAACCCTCCTTCTTCCATTTATAATTTTTTTTTCTCCAATTTATTTTGGAGAAAATTTACTAGTACTGCAGTTCAAATCTGACATTCCATGGAAAGCTTGAGCAGAATCTTTCACAAAGTTTTAAAGGAATATTTAACAAAAAGAAAGTTCAGAAAAATGGTACAGTGAGAATATGAAATGAGTAGTTTTCCTGAACTGGAACTGTGCACATAGTTGCATGTTTTCACCTTCAACAGCTTCCACCTCCACGTGATCATTCCTTCTTCTGTCTCTCATTGCTACAGTAATTGAAAGAGGCCTGGCATCGCAGACATTAGAGGGTATCTCTGTAGGCAGAGTAGAAATAACACGACAGAGTACCCTGGGTCAGAAAATGGACCATTAACAGGAAGAGAGAGGAAGTATGCAAAGGAGACCCAGGTCCACTGCACAGTGTGAACCTGGGCTCTGCCCCCACATGAGGAACTCCAGTAGTGGTTTGTACCACCGGGTAGGAGCCCCAAGACCAGTGAAGGGAACTACTTGCAATCACCAACTCACAAATCATATTTGGAATGCACATCCCTCTTGAGAACAGCTCTTTTTTCACTTAATGATCAGAAATACCCTAATGTAGACCTGCAGGCAACATAAGCACATTAGTATCTTTCTCCGGTCACACAAATAAAAGGCTCCTCTGCTGACCAAGTGACTCAATAGATGGATGAAATAATTTCTATTGGACATCATTTAGCATAATGTATGAAATCTGTATTATCTCTTTTTACAAAAGCCCCATTCAGTGCCAACAGAAACTATGGCTGATGAACTGAAATCCAAGTCACTTACAGAGAAGCATTCCAAATTCTGCTTACCACCATTAAAGCACTATTACTGCAGAACAACATCCAAAAAAAAAAAAAAAGTATACAATTTTAGCCAATTTACTAACCATCTGGAAAACAAATAGCTGTGGCAGAGTTTTTTCCAGTAGAGGAACCAAATGCTCATCCTCACAGCAGAGAGTTTTTTCTTACCAATGAAATGATCTAGAAAAGCAGTGTGCCAGCTACTTATCTGTAGTGCTATACAACAATTTAAACAGGGAGTGATGAATACTATATCCAGTCAAAACTGCTGTGGGACTTTAAAATAGCAAAGTCTACATACACAAACTGGTATTTAGCTGGAAAAGACTAGTATATCAATGCTTTCGGGAAATACACTGAACTCTAAGGAGAGCAAGTAATGAATTTGGTTTGAAGGATCTTCTAAAAAACATTACCAGAACACTACAAATGACACCACGTGAGTCACCCAACAGACTGATTCAACAGTGACTAAAAAGGAAAGATGTCTGCTTGCAGAGTTGCTTCCTAGGGTACCTCAAAGTCTCAGTACTGAAAACAGGGAAATTTCTTTCCTCTGAGTACCAGCCCAATTCTCTTCAGTTCAAGGCCAAACAAACAGGCAAAAGAGCTCTGTAGCCCGAAGCAGGACCACATCCAGAGCACTGATCTTCCGTGCCCAGGGCAGTGCAGTGGCCCATTATTCCCACAGACACGCAGTAATAGAAGTAGGACTGAGAACTAGAAAAACCGCACTGTTCTCTTTACTTTGTAATGTTACTTCAAGATGTAAAGGGTATCTTTTAACACTCTGGGTGTTGAATGCTCCCTCCTGTAACTGTTAGAATGATCCTAACAGATGATTTTTCTTTCCCATCTTGGATGGCCAAGATCAGACACCAGTCACTTCATTTTTGAGTGTTTACACTCCTGGGAATGTTTACATTGCCTAAACCCTGAAGGCATCCACCTTCAGTGCCACATTAGACTGGTGATCTTGACACAGGAGAGACTCATCAAAAAGACCAATTCAAACGCATAAATGAGAAGTTTTTTTTTTCCAGCTGACTACACAGAGATCCTCAGCATTTCACCTGGCACCTAAATAACTCACCCACCATTATCCTATACTTTAAAGCACTCTCTTGAATAAAGACAAATAAAAGACAGTAAAGATCTGCACATGAACTGAAAAGATGCTTGCACCAGCACAGCATGTCACCACTTGTAGGCTGTTTTAGCTCACTCCTAACATGCAGGTACAGCGCATCACGCTCATTCAGCAGCACGTGTCAGACCTGCTATACGGGCATGGTGTCTCTGTCACATTTGCACAGTAGGATTTGATGCTTTCTAAAAATATTGGACTCATTGCACAAAGGCACGGTATAGTTAAGACTGCAAAGGTGCTGCCTGGCAGTTCTGGAGTTGTTGGATCAATGGCAACCTGGTCAGAATTATTTCCCCTGAGCAAATAAATGAAAGCCCCAAATTCTACTCAAATTTTATGGTGAGGACAAGGTGGGGGAGGGGAGCGACACCAAAACAAAAAAATCCAAACAGGCCTTTTCTAGAGGAACCCCAGAGAACTGGCAACCACCCTCACAATCAATCTCCGAGCCAGAGTCAGAGATAGGATCCCATTCTCCAGCCTCAACCATAGACCTGTTTTGTTCACTATGCGATTTCCAACGTCTACAATAAATTAAGCAGGAATTTTACAGCCTGCTTTAACCATGCAGCCCTGGTTCAATTTCATTCTTTGTGCTGAATGAAACAACTGCTCTTGGGGGAAAAAGCTGCTGGTGAGTCATCAAGACTGCATCATAACACGTGCTAGGGGAACGGAGAGAAGCAAAAGGAGGTTTCTTAGGCAACCTTTATTCTGCAACTTCCTAGCATTTGAGCATTCAAATTCTAATATTCTTTTAACCTAAGAAATAATGCTGCTTTGTGATTTTTAAATACATAGTACATAGTTTCTGTCACTTTAAACTTTTGAACCCACTGCAATGACAGCACTTGTTCTCATATACCCTCTCTAATGCAAAAATATTTTTATCAATATTACTTTTTATTAAAAAAGCATGAAATAAAGAAAAAGTAGTTGAACATGGCTGTATGTCTTGCTTGTCTTTTGCTGTCGGAAAAGAGTGGAGAAAATTAAAGACAGTTTCACCCGCAGCTTTCAGCTACTTATAATGAGGTATTTCCCAATACCTTCTCATTTCCTCCTTCTCTTTAAAAAAAAGAAAACAAGAAAAGGAGGCCATCTGTTGTAGGTAAAAACATAGCTCAAATTAATAAAAAGACACAAGATAAAACCACTAAAGGTTAAAGGTTGGTCTCGATGATCTCAAAGGTCTTTTCCAACCAAAGTGATTCTATGATTCTAATTATAAAGTGCTGTGCTTCTGCACATTCACTACTGAGATTGGGAAAGTCAGGGTCTTGGAGCACCAGAAAGCGGGATGCAAGGAAGGTTTCCTGGTAAAAAGTAACGTTCTTGGAAAGAATAAGGGGCTAGAGAAGCAGAAGGTGAAGATCGTGAAAGGGGGGGATGATCCTGGAGCTCAGGGAGCTGCACAGAAACAAATGCCAAAGGCTGCCCAGGGACACCGGCCAGTGGGACCTGAGGCTAGTGACTGTGAGCACCTGCACAGTACAAATGCAACTTTCTGCCCAACCCTCCTGGCAGCAGCAATCTTCCTGCTGGGAAAGGAACCCAACGCTGCTGGTGGGGAGGGGAGAAAAGCAGATAAGTACATGAAATTTTAAGGCAGGATAAAAGCTCAAAATCTTGCCGGTTCTTAAATAAACCCCACTATACAGACAGGCTGTCATGTACTCTGTCTCCCCTGTGACCCAACTCCCCTTTATCAATATAAATAACTCTCCCATTACATTAAAACCGTATACACTGGCTGTATCTAGTCTCAAACACACTTCCCTATCCCATGCCTAGTAACTGAGGGAGTAAGACCTGCATTCTCACCCGTTTTCCTGTGGGATAGGGCATTCTTGGAAGGAAATCTTCCTGAAGGTGCTCAGAGCCAGAGGAAGTTACAGGATGCTCCACTGTCTCTCCCCATGCTGATGATCAAGGTACCAGGACTGGAGACACTGGGAAGCAGGATGCATCCGAGAGCATGCTTGCTCCTCTAGTGTGCATACAACTAGAATTTATCAATTTTATATGTGTAAGTGACTTTAATAACCAGGATATTTTCAATTCAACAAGTAGCATTCAGGAATACACAGAAAAATACTTGGCATTTGAAAACTACCTGTGCAAATACTTATTTGAGCTATCTTCATTTACTCTTCATCAATGCTGAAGTCTTCTTCATCCTGCTGGAACACTGAATTTTCCAATTCTTACTTAAAAGCATATGCATTGAAAGCTTCTTAAAAAAAAAAAAAAAAAAAAAAGACAAAAAAACCCCCAAACCCAACCCCTCAAAACAAACAAACCACCCCTAGACTCCATACTTTCCCCACAGTTATAATCAAAAGACCTCAGGATAAGAAAGGATAAATGTAAGCAGCTCTGGTAGTCTGACCCACAGTCAAATGTCTAGAACTAAGCATACAAAGCACAATGAATACTTTTGGTCCAGATCAACAAAATATTTAAGAATGTACTTGAATCGTTCTCTTGATTACAGCTATTTTCTGAAATCTAGCTTAATACTGTCAGGTTTGCTAGCAGTTTTTGAAACAATTATTTAATTTTCTTTGAATTTACTGCTGTACTTCAGTTTTCAATGCAATTTGGATCATGAGAAATGTCTTCTATTTTAACAGTTATAGTCTGAATCATTATCAATTAACCAGTCAAGCCACAAAATGCTGACTCCTTTATTTCCCCCACCATTGCAGTTTCCATCTTTGAGGAGGAATTAAGTTAGAAGTGAAATATTTCTGTAATACAAGATTACAGACTACTACGAGAACAACCACCAGTTGTTTTTTAATGTCTAGATAGTTTTCAAAACTGCACGTCTGCGTTTTCAGAATCAGAAAATACCATAGATATCAACTAAGTAACAAAACAAAACAAAAAAAAAAAAAAAAAAAAGAAAAGAAAAAGCTGTCATTGTCCCCAGGAACCATGTGTAGTCACGTTTTCAGTCAGTCAGCTAGCTGAGGGTCATGTCATTATTTAGTTTCTGTAGAAAAAACACAAGTACAAAAATAGTATCAAAAAGCAACATACCTATTTTAAAATATATACATTATAAAACTTAATCATTACACCAGCATATAAATAAGGTTTTTAACAGATTTAGAAGAATTAGAATTTTATATATGCTTCTCTAGCATTTAAAGAAGTACCTCTGTCTCAGCAGTGTGTGAAAGCCAGCAATTTTTCTGCAGTATACTGTTGGTACAAAATATAGTTAACTTTGTTTTATTCTGGAGTATATTTCAACTATGATACAATTAACTTTTTTTAAAAAAACATTTTTGCACAGAAATAAATCATTATAAATATAGATGTTAAATTTCAGGATTTTAATAAAGTTTTAACTAAAAAAAAAGAATGCATATCAAATCAGTGATGCAGGACTTTTTTAGGACAATAAAAAGACAAGAATAATCAAGTATTTCATGACAGAATAAGTGGTTTTCAACTCTAACTAATTATTTTAAAACAAACACCAAACATTTTCAGAAGGGGAAAAATGCAATGAGTCCATTTGCTGTGGGTTAAAGCCAATCAGCAACTATTATTAAGAGCCACAGAAACCAGCCCTAGATTATCTGTGCTTTGCATTTCTAACATAGTGCTAGTTAGCAGCTCTGCTGTCTAAGGACTACTTGAAAGCTTTGTGAAAAATGTTTGGGGTGGGTCTTTTGTTTGGCTTTTTTGTTTGTGGAGTGGGTTTTTTGGAGGGGGGATGAGGTATTTAAGTAGAACTAGTAGGTTGCAATTAAGAGATTAATTAGAATTCCACAACACATTCTTCTAAAAGATACCACATTCTTTCCTTCCTCTTCTATTTTTGAGTGACACAATTTACACAACAGGCATCAGACAACTGCAGTGAGGTTCTCACAAAACACTCAAAGCAATGCAAGAACCTGAGTAGAAAGCACCAGCTGGTCAACACCAAGAACATTCCAATAGCTTCTGCTTTTAGCAACCACCTAGAAGCAGACAGGTAGTTGTCTTCTCAAGCCTACACCAACTCAAAGGAAGATGGTTTGAAGTGATTATCTCAACCATTAATACTTACTTAGCATAAGAGGGGAGAACCTCACTCAAAAAAACCTTACATTAGAACTTAAAGTAGTATTTCCATCATGCTACTTTTAACTACTCATATAAACAACTGAATTTTCATTGACTTGTAGGAGAGCCAGAGCCTGCAAAATTCATTAGATAGATTAGTTTAGAATATTAACATACATGTATTCAAATTCTCCTGCTAAACAAAGGTTGTTGTAAGATAACAGACTGTTCTTATGATCAGAAGTTTACGTTGCAAGAGCGTTATCAGTAGCATACCACTACCATAAAACATTTTTTAAGAAACAGTTTTGTAGATTATATTTTAAAATATTATTTACATAAGAAAAATATTATTGGGGAAAAAACTTCAAAAAGTCAGATAAAAGCTGTGTTGAAATAACAAATAATTTATTTGAATTAGTCAATTGAATTAAATTTATTTTCATATAGATTCTGTTGAATTCACAGATCTTATCACAGATTCTAATGAGAACCTTGTATAGAAAGGATTATTGCAGAAATCCAGTCACCTTGTTAGAGATAAAAGGCAAGCAATACAACAAGACTTTAGAAAGGATTTCTTTTTTTTTTTCCAGAGGCAATGACTTAAGTGAAAACTCACAGAAGAAAATTATTTCCCCTAGCTAAAATTCAAAAAGAACATAAGTTAATATTCTCACATCTTAAAAAAAACCCAACTACTATTTCAGAGGTTGAGAGAATTCCATCCCCTTTCACATGCACAATTTAAAGCTTTAATTGGAAGTAAAATATAAGCCTCTAAACTACTGCAAAACTTGTTTGTCAGTCAGTCCAATGCACAGTCACACAGTGGTAAGCTCGATTTAAATGGGCAAGCCCTTTTAAAAAGCAATGCAGATGGAATCTTTCTTTTTATGTACCATTTAATTTGAATTTGAGAAACTGGCTAAAGGACAAAAACAGAGCAAGTAATTTTGTCTGTCTATCCTAAGAAGAGATAAATGCTAAGACAACGTGCCAAGACACTCAGAACCAGGAACCTGATGTACAGGATGTAATAAGATGTAACACAGTCAGTTTAGAAAGCTCTTCTACCGGTGTTACCGCACAGACACAGCAGATGAAAGGCTAACCGGAACGGAAATATTCAGCAGTCATTTGCACCATAATTACAGGTAGTCTGTCCAAGACAGATTTAGGGTCTTTGAACAAACTAAAACTAGTAGTCTTTATTATTTGAAAACTTACAGAAACACAAAAACCTAGGAAAGGACAAAGAGCTCTGCTGTAATTTTGCATGTGTAAAAAGAGTATTCTTCAAATATGACCTCATTTCTCCAGTTTTCTAATTAGGTAAAATGGCACAACAGCAAATGTGTATGTCTTACCCTCACCTTATAAGGGAGTTCAGGTTTCTAAGTAGTCAATAATAGGTATATATTAAAATTTTCAAACATAATTTGAAACATAAAGTAAGTCTTAGCCTTTTGAAAATCCCATTTGGTGATTTTTAGTGATCCCACTGCACCTTTTGTCAGCTGGAGACCTTAAAGAATCTTCTCAAAAAACAAAAAGTCACACTGGAAAAACATGTGCTTGTGTCTATGTACACACATGGAAATAAAAAATTAAAAAAAAAAAAAAATCGGTTTTAGATTGGCAATCAGAAGAGAACCTCCCAGTCTTCTCACTCTTGTCTATCTTAAAAACAAAGAAAGAAAAAGTAAGGATAGATCATCTTTCTAATTCTGGATGCATATCGTAACTACACTTTTCTAGTAAAAAGCAGTCAAGGCAGACCTGTTATTACATTACACTTTACATCACAGTTTTTCCTGTAGTGACCAAGATACTGGCATTTTATGATTGGAAGTAGAAGTCAGACTAAAACAAAACAAAACCTTTGTACAAAGATAAAAGCGTGTGTACAAGTTACTTAAAATTGCACTCACCAGAGCTGCTCATTAAAAAAAAAGTTTCAAATTATTTTTAGCTAAAATTCAATGTAGGAAAAGAATTCTAGCAATTTTATTTTATTTTTTTTTTTAGAAAGCAAGTTGTGTAGAAAGACTAAAGACTACCTTTAATAAACGGCTGCTTATCAAAAGAACATGAAAGCCCTTAGGAAAAAAGGAGAAAAAAAAACCACTGTGGGCAAAATCTTTTTTGGTCTTTGCAACTCCCAGGTCACAAAGAGTATCTACACAAGGAAAGGTACAAGGCATGAAGCTTAGAAGTAAAATATTGATGCAAAGAGAGTCAGGATTTCATGTGATGTTTTCCAAACGAGTTAAACCAAAACTGCATGTCCCCTATAAAGATAATACAGAAATTATTTGGAAGCTACAGTAATACTTGGGACTTATTTTGTAAAAAACAGGGCTTAGCCTTTCCTCATCCAACTATTTCTCTTTTGGTAATAGTCCTATGTTAAAAAAAAATTAAAGAAGAGATACAACTTGAATCAAACCAATGTTTTAAAAGAACAAATTAATTTTGGTCCCTGAAGTCTATATATAAAACCTCTCCAGGAGCTCATACAGCTTTCATAGGCCATAAGCACCAAGCATCAACTGATACATTCTCAAATGAATTCTCTTAATCATACACCTCAATCCCACCACAACAGGCTCTGCAATATTTTCTTCGCTATTACACATTCCAGTTACACCTGATTTCTCAGAATCCAGGTGACCCAAATATCGCAAACCTTCAGTTTCACCTGGCAACCTTCCCTGTCCTTCCCATGTCCTTTTCTGTTTAGCCGTTCCCTCCTCTGCCCTTCCAGGTCTAAACTCTGCATCTTTATCCAGCACCACTGTGAGGGCATGTGTTTTTAATGAAAGAAAGACACACACAAGCTGATCTCAGTTCCATTGTTTATTTTTGCATACTCTTTTCAATGTTAACTGATACTCTTCTTAGGTACATAAAGTGAGTATTTCTATGAAAATCCAGATTGATGTTAATCAACTGGTTCATATTTGTTCAAAAATTATAAAAATAGATTTTTACAAAAATAAAGTGTATGTGTGCATATAAGCATACACACACCCACATATACATATATGATACACACACACGTATCACAAATTAAATTTCAAGATATTAGCTAAAAATAGATTTAAAGTTTATCATTAAATATTCATACCTAACTTCAAAATACTTTGCCTATCACTATTTCAGACTGAACTTCAGTTTAAGTAACAGCTCAGACTGGGTACTCACCTGCTCAGTAAGTTCTCTGCCGTTTGTTAGATTCTTCTGTAGGTGAGTCTGCCAACCTTACTTTAAGCCTGACACCATTCACAATCTTGCCATGTAATGCAGTTATGGCATCACTGGCACTTCCTCTGTCTGCAAATTTTGCATAGCCCACATTTTTTCCAGCCACAAGGTAAACTTCTATCAAGTGTCCAAAACGACTGGGGAAAAAAAATAAGAAAGATAATTTACAGGTTTTGCTGCAGTTAATCAATCTGAAGTATATATGATCTGATAGCTGCAAAAGTTACGTTCTCATACATACACTGTATTTTCTTGTGCTGCCCTCTTCCAAAACTCCCAATTTTCATATTCCCTTCTCTAGTATTCCAGGCAGGAATAGAAATAAACCCAGAAGTTCATAGACAATGTTTTCTATGGAATATTATAACAGAACCACAAGCACCAGAGATTTATTTAAAAGAATGTGTAAAGCTAATCAATCCCATAGTACCTAAACAGCACTCAAAAAACCTCCACAAAAACAAAACAACAAAAAAAACCCCAAACAAACCAAAAAACACACACACACACACACACACTAGCATCCCACTTTAAATGAACTCGTTCAGTTGTTATTCATGTTTGAAAAGATCTTACTGAAATGACTCAGAAAGCAAGCGCTAAAGCATTACGGAAAAACCCAGATTTCCAAGTCCTCAGGAGATTCCTAGACAGTTCCTTAAAAAAACATTTTAAAAAGCATAAAGTCGGCTTGCTGCACACAGACATTATACAAGTGTCAAGACTAGAGTACATAGCCTTTTTCTTCTCCAGCATCTGATTAAGAAAAATCCAGTATATCAAATAGGTACAGTTTTAACTTCTGCACAAGTCTATATTGTTTCTTTTCCTCTCCTGCTGCTTTGAAAGTATTTTGGCTTTCCAAAGATTTATTGCAAATGCCAGCCATTAGAAAAGGGAAAAGTTTCTTCTTCCAAGCGTATACTAAAAATAAGTAATATAAAATACTGGAGAACAGCTGAACTATAGATTTATTTTAAAGATGGCAAAAATTGTTTCAAGTCTTTGCTCGTCATAGAGCGGTAGTGTGAAAGGACAGTTGAAATAGCATCAGGAAAATGCAAACCATCTACATGTCTCAGGATACATCAGAAAAAAACTCCCTATACTTACTCTCCTAAGTTACTGTGGAAATTTTTCAAGATACTGAAATTCTTTATAGAAATATGTACAAGAAAATGCCAAATAAATTGGGCTCTAAGAACTGGAAGTACCACCTTTCTTGCTTAAAAAGATCTTAAAAGACTAAACATTTTACTTCAAATTACATTAATCAATAATAGAGCTCCTGTACTGATGACATTGCATCTACGGTTCAAGGTGAATTCCATTACACACTTATTTCAAAAAGCACTTATTACCTACTGATTACTTACTAATCACTGTGCACTGTCTTTTCTGGAAGGAGTTTTCATGACGACAATCTTTTTTTTTGTTGTTGTTTTCAACATTTATTTGAAATATTTCGTGGTTATTGTTTTGGTTAGAGAACATTGATTTGTAAATGGAATCTTACCAGAACACATCCTCCAATACATTTACAGATAAAGGATGGGGATGAAAAAGTATGAAAAGCCTTTCCTTCACAGAAGTGTCAAGTGGAACTTTTTTTTTGTGTGGTGGAAGTATGGCATCTGTTTGGGGCTGAAGTAACAGTGAACCAGAAGTTCCTCCAAGTGGCTGCTGAAATGGGAAAAAATGCAAGTATAAATTAACCAATGGGGGTGGTAGAAGGGGTGGAGTAATTTTAACTTATTTCCAATTTTTGTTCCTATCACAGGACATAACCAGGCTCTACTAGTTCTCATCTTAATTCGTTTACTTTGATTATTTCATTAAATTGGACAATAAAGCCAAGTAAGGTCAGACATCTTCACAGGGAATAAAAATGTACAAACCAACCAGAGGTATATCTTAAAAATGTACCATCTAAAACAGTTACAAAAGAGAGTGGTGTTGTTTACTGACATATCTGACATTTCTTACAACAATTCAGAAAAATATTAACAGTATTCATTACATTAACTTACAGGAGGCATCCTATACTGCTGAACAATTGCATTGTTATTCTGCAACGCTGATGACACATGTGCTGTTACTAGCTGTGTTGCCATTTTTCTGATGAGGCTGCAAGCAGAAGTGATAACAAACTATCTTTAAAAAAAAGGGCTAAGTTACAGTAACCTTAAATTCAACATGAGAAAGTAAGTTTTAATGCACCTGTGAAAGTATTGTTGGAAACCTGTAAACTCATGTAAATAGTGAAAATCAAGTCATGCTTCCATGACACTCTAGACATAACCTGAAAGTATGCGTGCCAGCTGCAACTCACAGAAAACACTCATACATTTCTACATATCGACACAAAACTCTTCTTCACTTTTTTTAATACTCGGGGCGGGGGGGAGAGGGGGGACGACACACAAAATAAAAGCAGCTCTACAGAGCCCACTACATTTTGTGAAAGGTGCCTAAAAGGCAGAAAGGACAGAAAAATTTCACATTTCAATAAAGACCACAGAGATTGAATTCAGAAGTCAGAATAGTATCACAGAAAATTTACTTCCAGCTCTTATTTTCCAGTAATTTTTCTTTGTTCTGTTGCAGAATAAGAAAAAGCGATTGTACTTTTTGCATAGATTCACAGCCTGTGTTGTAGGACCATGAAATAGTAGGAATTACTGAAGAATGAAGGAAAGGCTTTGCAATGAGGACAGTTGCAATGAATTTTTGGGTTTTTTTAGTTTAGATCAGACACACACTTCTGAAGTGAATCTACCCATTGTCCCTCCTCACTGTCCTCATTCATGTCCCAGAATAGGTTTGACACAAACGAGATTCCTTTAGGATGAAACTAAGCTAAAATATTCTCTGCAGGAGTGTACCTAAGCTGCTCCAACTTGTAATGGGCATTCAAATCACAAAAACACATTAGAGATGGTCAAAGTGGGGACATCAGATCCTCAGCACCCAACAGTTTTAGTCTACATATGTGCTTCACAGGGCTATTATTTGCAGTATTGCAAACACAACCAAGAGATCAAGCAGATAAATCTGGTTTTAATACAAAAGTCTCAGCAAAAACACATTCCAGCTTTGTTACATATTAGATACCTTTACAAAGATTCTTGTCAAATCCAAGATTTTCCAGTGTATCTCAAGAATCTATATATTTTAATCTTTTCTTTATCAGACTATTAAGTTTCAAAAGCTTATTCTAAACCATTGAACACCCCCACAAAACACCTGAATTTCAGAAAATACTATCTACAAGTATGAAACAAGATCACAGTGACACTGCTGTTACTACTTCTGTTATAAATGTATTTATTTTAAATTTTGCTCTCCAGAACACAACTTACAACTTGCTATCTCTGTGTATCGGTACTTACTCTGAGCTTTCACTTCCATCTTCTAGGAAAACGACAGCTAATCGATTTCCAGGAGGATACTCAAAACCGTGTAATTTATACTTGGCATATATAGCTGACGCAGCAGTACTGTACTGAATCACAGCATACCCTACGAATACAGTGCACAGTTTCAGTATGATATGGGTAAGTCCTAAGAACAAAAATACACTCGTATAAAGCAATATGATTAAACTACACATTAGTCATGGATGATATGAAATTCTTAAGTCTTTTTACCACACATTACGTTACTTAATAGCAGTATCAGTAGTATTTGTGAAGAGAACTTCAGTGGAATTAACTACTGACAGATCAGCTATATTTATGCCAACTTGAAAAGCTGTTAATAAAGCAACACAAGTGAAAACGTCTTCTTTCCTAACCCTGAATTAGAAACAAAAACATACACAGTTTCATTTTAAATGCAATTATCCCATCAATGGTGAATCTCAAGTACTGTAAAGTTACATTTTAACTCTCTGAATCATTTCCATTTCACGCTTCTTAAAAGACACTTCTTCCACATTTTTCTCAGAAACAGCAAAACAAGACTGAAACCAAAACAATCCTTCCAATACAAACCATTATTTGCTGTAGAATGATTTAATCCATTTACTCATGTCAGCTTCTACACACATACACACCATCACCACACCCATTTCAAGATGAAAACGCAAGAGATCTGTTTAGAGAAAGTTTTTTCCATTTATTCTGCCCAAACTATTAACTTCATTTGACCAAAACCCACTTCAAATGGTTTTGATTCTGTCCTTCTTGAGAGAATAGTGTCTGAAAATAGCGGCATTTAAAACTATCTGTAAAGAGGGGTTCAAACCAACCTGAATTTTTGGGTTTATGCATCAGTGATAGCAGCAACCATTGATACATAAAACATTCTTTCCAACAAGTATACTGTATTTTGCAGTACAAATGAACAGAAGTACAATTAAAAAGCATTCCCCGCATAGAAAGAAAGAAAGAAAAAAAAAAAAAAATAAAATCTTTTTCTGCTTTTACTTACCACTGTTGGTATGAGGATCTCGCTGAACATCACAATATTCCAGTCCTGGGACTAGGTCAAAGAGAGCGAACAGCTGCTCTTGGATAAGGGGAAGCCGTGATACCACAGACAAACGTTTGGAGACCGACTCCTGAATTCTGCTCTCATTTTTTTCAAAACTACAGAACTCCGGCTGCGCACCTCAAGAACCAACATAAAAACAAATAATTCGACTCATCACACTAGCATGCCTTCATTTCATACATATTTTTAATTCAATTTTTAAAAGTACTTCAAGTCAATTATATACTAAAGATAACGTATTTATTTCACCAATGCAGGTCACAAAACAATCAACCAACTAGAGCAAAGCGAGCCATAAAAATATAGAAATGAAACACCTGGCTTGTTTCCAACTCCAACATCCCATTTACTATTTAAGTGTTGACCTAAGCCTCCGTTAGCTTCTCTTCTTCCAAACTATATTCTTACTTTGTGACCATACTCAAGACTACAAATAATTTTTAGTATAAAAAGCGGTGACTTACAAAACGGAAGTGTATTTCCTCTTGGTTCTTGCCTCATGTTATTACTATAATAATCATGTTCAAAAGACTCAGATGACTTATTTTTAGGTTCAGCCAATATGGCCCTGTAGCCTAAAAGAAAACAACCGCACATATAGCAAAACTTCTGCACTCCAAATTACCTACCCAGATATGCATTCAAGTACTGTATTTAGAAGCATATTATTCACAAAACCTAGTGAATTTCCATGCTATGACAGCAGTTTATTTATGTTTTGCACTGATGGAGGTTTTGCTTTTATGAAAGAAATAGGTATTACTCTCAGGTTATCCAACTGATTTAATTTTAACCTCATAGCAAAAAAGAAGTAAAGTTTAACTGATAAGTAATCTCAGACTCATATTCCTATGCAAGAATTGTCACAAACATAATTTTTTTAGAACCACTTATGATAGATATAACACAGAACCACCACGCGTATGACCAGGGAAAAAGAAAGCAACTCGCACAAGAACAATGGAAAAACAACCACACCCACACACCAAGTTGTTTTGTATTTGTGATTAAGCAAATACTGAACAAGAAGTTGGACTGGAAGACTGCTGCTAAGTTTCCCAAAAAGCCTGGATGAGCAAGCCCAGGTCCCTCCATCTCTCCTCATAAGCTGTGTGCTTCAGCCCCTGACCACCTTGGTGGTCTTCCACCGGGCTCTCTCAAATTCATTAACACTTTTTTGGTACTAGAGCATAAACAACAAATGGTTGGTCATAAAGCATACAAAGTCTTTCATTCTGTAACAGATTAATCATGACATTAAATGAAAACAAACACACACACAAACTTCAATTAGAATTGGTTCTTAAATAAATGTAATCACAACAGAATCCCTATGGATTTTCAAATATATTTTTATATATAATTCATTTCATATCAAATATATTCCATTAAAAATGCATATTCCCAGGGATACATTAAAATGAGGTTTTCCTGCATACGAAGCCTACATTACAGGCCAATAATAATGCGCAAAAGAAAATTCTGTATCCATTTCTAAACTCTTTTCACTGATCTTACTTGCAGTTTGGTCCTGCAAGAATGTAACTGGGTGACGGTTCTCAATAAATACTAATAATACTATCTTTTATTTGCAATAGAACTTTGTCTCAAGATGTGTTTACATCATAAATAATTTACCTGCAAACAAAATTAAAAATTAAATGCACATTAATGATGATACAACACTTATGGTGAAAAACTTGAAAGAATTCAGTCAGATTCTTACTTCGATCACACTCTTCAATTGCTCGGGCAGCTTGCGATGGTTTTAAATACCTCACGTAGCCCAAACCTTTACTTTCTCCCGTAGTCTTGTTTTTAATGATGCTACAATATCCAATGTCTCCATACATCTAGAACAATCAAAAAGCATATTAATTTACAATATTTGAAAATGCATTAAAGTTCCATGCATTAAGCTCTTCTGATAAATTAAGGCAGATGCAATTTAAAATAACAATTAACACATAGCGAATCAGTACCTTAAACTTTTCTCGCAGATCTTCCTCTGTATAGGATTTTGGTATCATAACAAAGATTCGTGTAAGCTCCTCATCCTCAACATCTCGGTGGCTTCCAGAAGCTCTTGACTGTGCAATAAATACCTAATGAAATAATTACATAGACATTAGTTACTGCAGAAAGGGTCTTAACCACTTATCAACAAGCAAGAAAAATAGTTTGTTATAACAAGTCTTTGTTTTTATCTTTCACATAAGCTAGCTTTCCTAATATGGGAAAAAAGAACATCTCTGATCATGGATACATCTGTGACAAAAGACCGACAAGTGTAATACACACCAAATGGTTTCCCAAACAGGACAGAGGCCAGCAGAAGTTCTCACTGGGGACAACAAAGAACGGTCAGGAATATCAAAGCCTGATTCAGTACCACTGCCAATGTCACAGGTGGCACTTGAGGCAGCAAAAAAAAAAGCATTACTGCAACAGGCCTAGTATAGCAGTAGTAACCAAAAATAAACAAGCAAGCAAGCAAAAAAGCCTAGCAGCCTATTGAAACCTTGCTACTGCAGTTCACTGCTCAGTTGGGCCAAAGTCTGCAGGTCTAGTGCTCTATGAAGGATCGTAACTTCTCACATCTGTAACTATTAAAATATTTTTTAATTATTGAAATAAATTTCATCTCAGAAGTACAGCCCAGAACACAAACAGGAAAAAAAAAAAAAAAAACCAAAAAAATCCCAAACAAACCAAACCAACCAAATAAGAAAAATACAAACAGCCTTCAAAGTAAGCATCTCATGCAAAAGCAACAACTGATTTCACAAGAGCTCTTAAACTATTCTTCTAATAGTCATGCAGGGAAGTAAGGAATACAGCTCTGATCTTCTGGCTTCTAATGAGAAGTTCTTTAGAAAAGATTTTACTGATTCAGTTGCTTTTTCAAATGAAACACATGGAATCTTCTTTCACTGTTCAAAGTCATTCATATCTTCTCAGTACTTGGGGAATATGAAAACAATTCAAGAGGCTGAAAGCTGCCAGCGAGTCCCACAGATTAAAAGAAAGCCCATAATTATTTTGAAAGAACTGTGCACAAGAGACAAAACCAATATAAAATATACTTGGAAAGACAGTTCTATTTACCCCCATTGATCTTGCTTACAACACTTGAAATATACTGTCTTAGTATATTTCACAGAGATTCCCTCAAGGTTTAAAAAAAAAAAAAAAAGAAAAAAAGAAAAAAGAAAAGAAAAAGCTAGTTTCCAGGTACTGCATTTTCCCCCAGCCTGTAGCAGCTTACACCACACGTGGGAACTTCAGGCAAGGGTGGGACCCACGGCAGCTCCTCCTGAAGAGCACCGCCAAGCCCACAAGCCCCACAGCCCGAAACCGCCCCAGCTTTGACCCAAAAAAGATGACAACATCGGCACCAGTACGTGCGGAGCGAAGGCCGCAAGGAGCGGGTTTGACGCTCTCCGTGGCGAATCGCTGCCTGCCCGGCTCACTAAGGGGTCGCCACGGCTGCTCCAGGCGGGCCTCCGCCACCGGCCGTCCCCGCA